ATATTACAGACTATAGCATCCTCTGGCATATTTATAAAATGGTCGCCCATTATGATGTCTTTGCAACCGGTGGTAGTAACATAAATCTGTCCTTTGGTTGAGACTTCTTCCATTGTCGTTACCTGGAGAGTAATTTAGAAATTCACCAATTTTACTTCGATTGCAATTTTTGATCAGTATAGGTTTCAATACACTTCGAGTATATGATCTTTGATTTAATGTTTCAGCAATCACCTCGTATCCTTCCATGGCAGCTTGTAACGCATTAATGGGATCGATTTCCGTGATTATCACACGTCCTCCAAGTGCTCTGAGACTTTGTGCGCAACCTTTTCCGACGTCTCCATATCCAGCAACCACACAGACCTTTCCAGCAATCATGATATCTGTTGCTCGTTTGATACCATCGATTAATGATTCTCTACACCCATAAAGATTGTCGAATTTACTCTATTCAACAGAAGAAAATTATTTTACATGGGACTTAAAATTTAATTATTAGGAGAGTAACAGAAAGATGAGACAAGTGGACGATCATAAAATAATTTACAAGATTGCTGTGGAGACTTTTTATATATTTTTTACTTATGATAAGTACTTTACTTAGCAGTAATCTAACAGTTTTTTTCTCTTTAGGACAAGAATATTTTTTTTGTTTCTCAAACACAATGTGACGAACCTTCGTTACTGAATCGTTTACATTTATGGCAGGAACTTTCAGAATGCCTTCTTTCATCATGCGATACAGATTGTGAACCCCGGTTGTGGTTTCCTCGGAAAGGCCTCGGCACTCTTTTAAATATTCCGGGAATTTGGTGTGCACTAAGTTGGTCAGATCACCGCCATCGTCGAGGATCAGATTTAATGGTTTTCCATCCTTAAATACGAGGGTCTGTTCTATGCACCAGAGATATTCTTCATCAGTTTCACCTTTCCAAGCATACACGGGAATCCCCGTTTTTGCGATGGCTGCTGCTGCATGGTCTTGAGTGCTGAATATATTACACGAGGACCATTGAACCTATCGATATAACGACAATAACGAGTCATTAACATCTTTCTTGGTTTGTAGAGTAAAATTGTCTATGAAATCAAATCTAAAGGTAACATGTTTCATTCGTAAAGCAGGATATGAAACATTGCACAGGGTTGTACGAAAAGTTTTTGATGCAGAGTCAATGCATCCATACAGTATGCAGAGATAACCACTACGTTTTATATTATTATATAAAATGATATTATTTTTTTTATAATCTTCTGATATTTCTACGTTTGCCATTTTGTTGAAGTCATAATTAATATTTGCAGATTTTCTATTTGCAAGTAATTTTATTGTGTCGGAGATTAGAACAGAATGTTCCTAAGTATTGTAATATATATATATTTAATTATATTTTTTTTAATTTTATATATATTATATATATAATTATATATTAATATTTTTTTTAATTTTGAATGAGTTATGGTAATGATAAGAAGATACCGATTACTAACCGCTGATTAATCGAAAACTTCTTACAATGGGATGATATTACATTCACAGATATGATGTTTTCATTGCATCGTAAAAGTTTATGATATTTATCTTTCACAGCTTTGAATAAATGTAAAAGTGTATTGTTAAGTATTTTGAATAAATATAAATGTTTCATAATAAGGACCGAAGATAACCGTCTTACCTGATCCTGATCTTTGAGGATGGTTCAAAAGTTTCCCGATGTCTGATACAATTGTTAGTAAATCTTGCGAAACACGCAAGATCATGATCGATGAAATCGATCTGCATACGTATAAACGCGTACTAGTTTCTTCATTCTCCTCTCTTATGCTTCGTTCTATATTTTTCTATTTTTATGATTTTTCATTTGAATTATTTTGTAATAATTATATTTTTTACAAAATAGATTTTTATGAATTTTATAATTGGATGTATCTTTAATTTGCTTTTAATAGTACAAATATAAATATATTAAACTAACAAAAAATTTTTTATTTTTAATTTTGTGTATAAAAATTTATATTGAATAATATTTTCTGGGATATTATCGTTTCATCAATAATTTAAAGAAAGTATCGTACTGATGAGTTTGTGACTATCGAATTAAACCTTAGCATGTAAGTGTTCAGGCAAAGAAAACAATAGCAACGATTTAACCGAATTTTGAACATCAAACGAAAACGACCGGGATGTAGAAAGGTATCAACTTACCTCAGCTCCGAGTTCAACCAGAGTTTCAATGAGAACCGCAGTTTGCACAGTCATATGTAAACAACCGGCAATTCGTGCACCTTTTAAAACTTTTTCTGAACCATATTTCTTCCTGATGGCCATGAGGCCAGGCATTTCATTTTCTGCCAAAGTAATTTCTTTCCGTCCCCATTCCGCCAACGACAAATCGGCTACAAATAAAAAAGTTAGAAATCGATTTTATAAATTTTAGATCACTGTTCATAAATGAATCATTGAGCTCAATTCAAAAATTTTGAAATCAACTTCGTTTTATGATATATTTAAAAATATTTCATTGCTCTGTTTCAATGAAAAATGGAATAAAGACAACTATCTTTTTTTATGTTTTATTTTATCATTATTTTTACGTATAAAGAACGAAATTTATCATATTGACAAATTATGACACAATTTATGAAACTTAATTCAGAAGGTGCTTAATCGATTAATCTCCACATACTATTGCATCATTTAACAACTTTCAATTGGGACTTATATCTGAATATATTTTTCTTTTACATTACTTTAATATTTTTTTTCTGGTTCGACTACTATGTGTAGATGTGCGGATTATGAAGCGATATGTTTTAAATATTATAGAAGAAGGTTACAAATCTTTTTCTCAAATAGCAACCACGTGTCTGACTAATGTAACTCCGAAATTAATAGCTATGACCTACCAACTTTAAATGGAGGTTTGGAAGACATTTTCGTTGACAGAGACAATTATTACAAAAAGATAGAGCTAATTATTTAGTAACGGAACAACGCACAATATATAACACTAAATGTCTTCGCCGGCTACTTGCGGTAGAACTACTGGCAACGAACGTACAACAATCTCATTTTAACAAACTCCGCTAGAGACCGTCACTACTTGCTGGTAGCGTGGCAGGATTTAAAAGTTTTGGCGGGACAACTTTAACAAGTAGGAAAAATGAAACATTTTTAAGAGAATTGTTATCTCTATTTTATAGTTTTTGATATTTTATTTGCACTTCGAAATTAATGATATTAATTATAATAGTGAATTAATAATACTGAAGATACTAAAGTAATATATTGACATTTAAGATCATTTAATACATAGTCTAAAATAAAAGAAGTGAGATATGTTATTAATGAAGGTAAAATAAAAAAGGTGGTTTTTAAAAAACAATACTAATCAGTAAGTTCGTATCAGTATGATAAAAAAATAATGTCAACAACTCAACAAAATTTGTCTTACCTACTGAATATAATCGATTATGTAGAAATCTACTTTATATGAGAGTCTTTAAATTATACTTATCGTATGATGTTAATTTTTATTTGCATTTTATATTTTTATTTATAATTACGAAGAGTAAATATTATTAATTTTATCCTGCGGTTAAAAGATCGAAATCTAAATCAGCGAATGTTGTTCCATCACGAAGCATTTGTCTATGAAATTCTTTAGCCTCTTTCCTTTCGTCGTAAAGTACTGGATCCTTGTCAATACGTGTTAGGTTAGGTAACATAGCCAAAACAATGTGCCTATAAGCAGCTTCTTCCGCTACTTCCCTATCGGCTATTACAGGATTTTCCAAAATAATTAGGGTCTCTAATGCTGTTAAGCAATTTAATTTTTCTAACTCCGAAATTTTTGTAATCTCGTTATTCCGTAGATTCAAATAACTGAGTTTGGCACAACGTGAATCAAACCCATCCAAATTCGATATTTTGTTGCTCCTCAAATGTAGAATTCTTAAATTAACTAATATTTCTAAACCTTCCACTTTTTCTATTTGATTTTCTGCGAGATATAATCGTATTAATCCTGGAAAAAAGATCCCATTTGTTGTGGTAAGAATATTACCACGCAATTCAAGATTGTTCAACTTCTCAAGATCGTACGGATTTAAAGTGATTTCTTCAATATTATTATGATTTAATTCTAAACATTGCAAAAGCTTATGAGAAATGCCTGATGTGCTTGTCAATTTATTCTTATTTAGTGTAAGAACCTGTAGCACAATTAAATAAGTAGGATTAATAAATATGTAAGAATTTTAGAAAAATATTAAAATTAGATAAAGATAGAGAATAAAGATAAAGATAAAAGTAAAAATGATAAAAATCGTTAATAAGGTTTCGTGATTAACCTGAAGATAAGGCATAGGATCCAATTCCGCGGAAGACACATGATTCCTATCAGCTTGAAGCATCAAGAGATATTTCATCGACGAAAGAACACGAAGTGCTTCGGTCGTTAATCTATTTCCGGAAACGTCCACGTAGAGCACATATTTAAACGTTGATATGATTCTAATATCTGTCAAGCCTTTATTAGATGCGTTCAATCCCAGATAAGCATAACCAAGGCCGGAATCGCATTTTCCTAATGTGTGAAGACACTCTCCTGCTTCTGTTTGTGTTAACGCTTTTGTGGTATCTTCGAGGATAGATGATAATTTAGGAGTTGGATATTTATCGATCTCACCCACTTCTTCTTCATACTCCCTTCCTTCTCCTTCCTCCATTGTACTCTTGTTTCGATTCCTTTAATAATGAATACTGTGTCATTGATCAATTTTTCTCTGATACTTGTATCTTACTACATCGTATTTTATTTTAATTCTTTTAATGATAAGTATAATAAAATCAGTTAATCTTTTATTGATATTTATATATCATCACGCTGTATTTCATTTCAATTCTTTCAGTACAGTCAGTACAATGAAATTAACTAACCTTTCTTTCGTTGATATTTATAGTTTATAGGTTTGGTATCGAATAAAATACAAGATCCACGTTCACTTGTTTATTGTGAAAGTACAAACGTGTAAATAAACTTGTTTCACGTAAAATAAAATACGCAAGACGATTTCAAATTAAAACTATGAAAGGGTGTTGATTAATTATGAAACCCACGTCAACGAGTTCTGATACATCTGGTTTCGTCCCATTTCAATCTGTAACTCTCTTCGGTGGATTGTTTCCGGTGCATAATATCGCGAAGTTTCTTCAAAAGGATAAAATTCTCCCTAATGATACGATCTTGCTTCTCGCGTTCCAATTGCAAACCTTTTGCATTGAAAACTACGTGAGGTCTTGTTTGCGGTGGATCAACGTCAATTGCTCGCGTAGCCTTCTTTACCTATAAATACAATAGATGCTGCGATATTTGCCGTTATCGAACGAGCAACGGATTATCGATAATTATTAAATATTCACTTTTATACGATGTCGTTCGTAAGCTTTATGTCTCCACATGGACGAAGCCGAAGAATTCCTATTTCGTTCGTAAGACATCTTGCTTGCTCGACCCACCAAACTCGTTCCGAGTGTTTACACGATATACATGATACGATTACCAAGTTTCTTTAGCAACGCTTTCGCGACCAGCTTATATCGATCATGTCCTTATTGACTGGGCCAGGTTTTGACGGAAGAGAATCACCTTGATTATTGTAGATTTCGTTATTAACATAGAGTATATACTACATTTATTTCGGACTTGGTACCATTATTGTTCAAAATTCCAGGCGATGCATTTTTATTGCTACACTTCAGGAAGTTTAATAAATTTGATGAAGGAATTTTCAATTTATTAATATATTCGATACGATGATTAATTTAGAAAAATTTGCATAATTTCCACCATACTGTCGTCTTATAGTATCGTACAACTTTAAATACGCAAAGTTTCCAATGCAATTATTGAAAGAATATTGTATTTCTGTCAACTTCTTCGAATGTCTACAAAGTACTTGTCCATAAATTCAATCAATTCTTTCAAAGAGCTAATTCATTTTTTTTATTTTTGTATAATTATTTTCATATAAACTTTTTAAAATACAGTAGAGATAGATATATATAACTACTATTTTCGACTGCCCTCTATTACATAATAATAATCTATAAATCGAACCACTTTGCACCTCTCTTTATGTTTCGAGTCAAAGACTTTTTAGTTTCAGGTCTGGCCTGAAGAGGTAGACTGCGGCATCTACGAAACGTCGAGCCAAAATGCATGAGTACAAAGTACTCAAATGTAAAATCGAAATACAATTGTTTATCCCGAAAAGCCAGTATCGAGATATATCTTTTTACTTTGAAAAAATAATAAGAATAGAGTTTTCGATAGACTTCAATTTCGCATAAGACACCTAAAGAATTCACATATTTTATTTGTATTTTGTATAGTCTAACCTTATATTCTACGAAGTCCCCATTTTGTATTTTAGTCTCGATATCTTCATAATCATTTCCCTGTTAAGAATATATGTATGTACATACCAAAGTTAAAAGCATCGTAACGTTATTACAAGAGAAGAAACTTCTCGTTGCTTCTCTAGTTTGAAAGAGGCAACAGTTCCCGTATACGTATTGCGTGCATGTGCATACGTGTACATATATGACCACGTGTGAGTATGCGCACACGTGATCACCACTACGAGTACAATTCTCAGACTCTGGTGGAAGCTGCGATTGGTAGGTTCGCTGGACCAATCGCGTTACACCGGAGGCGGAGATGTGGTGGACCCGTGTTTTTTTCCGTGTCGTCGCGACGCCGTAAACGCGAGCGTGAAATTAATTTAGCCGTGCTTGGCATTCATGGCGACGGAATAGGACTCCCCGCGACGTCAGAGGACGAAAGGCGACGCAACCAAATTCAATTTCAGCAAATTCAATGGATTCCTTCGACAAATAAAATTTCGGTTACTGCACCATGTCGACTAGTTTTAAATTTTCGGATCAATTTTCGAGAAAGTTGTTTTTTAATAGAAAAACACGAAATTAACGGATCTACGAAAGCAACATCGAATCGACTTTAATTGGAAGATTTGTATCATTTTTTCTTTAAGTTGCGTGTTTACAGTCGCATCGATCACTATACGTATTATTATACAGCGAATCAGTTGGAATCACAGGTTGAGCTTAATAATTTATCGAGAGATTGCCTTAGAAATGCAACTATTCTTTAGAAATAACAAATTTTATTTCAATCTTTATTTGAAAAGGGACTGAATCGATTTTGACGGAGAAGTTGACTGGAGAAGCGATGGAGAAGTACAGGGATTACTCTGGTTGAAGCAACTGTGTAACTATCGAAAATTAAATAGCTAAAAAGCTATGTTTTCGTAAGTAGAAAACAAACCTGGTGGGAAAAATCAGGTAGGATGATAAAGTAACAATTGATGTTTGTTTATAGCTTTAGAAGGCAGATAGTTCGTTTCTATTAGGCAACTTCATGACCGAAAATTCCGAATATTGGCTCAATAAACTCTAACAAACTGCTGCTAGCAAGGGATGTCATAAAAGCAGGCAATAAAGTTAAAACTGTAAATCACCCGAGAGAAACAGAACATAAAAATATTGACCCATCTGTTACCTGTCACGAACTTCAAATCTCTTTTCCTTTTTTTATTTCAAACCTCAAAACGAAACGTTTTTGAACAAAAGAAGAAAGTCGTTTAACGAACGGAAATATCTGAAATATTCCAGTAATACCTAACTATTTAAACAATCTCCTTCACACGTACAAATACCTGATAAAAGTACAGCAACCGTCAGTTTATTCCGCTGAAAAGACGTTTTCTCGGTTAAAGACCATATTACAGAAGTCTCTAGCGTCGGCACGAAGCGAGGAAGAAAAGAGAGAAGAAAAAGAAGAGAAGGAAAAAAGACCGGATACATGGGTATCCGTGGGTTGTGCAACGCGGATCGTGCAAAGGGTCGTTGATCTTAATCGCGGATCCTCGACAATGATCCTCTCAAACGGATGAGCTCTTGCCACTCGACGAACGATGAAGATCTCTTCCCTCGAGGGGATACACGGTGTTCCAACGAAGTCCTGTCTACCAAATAGGGACCCCTGACACGTATTTCACATATCTACGGGGGATAGTGAGCCAATCCCTGTACGAACTGATCCTGCTACAGTATATTATATTATCCTCGTACTACGATCTTTGCCTCGCCCATCCTTTCTCATCCTTGCCTTTAACTCGCCAACCAGTAGCAATCGCTTTCAGCATGCTACCAGCTGACGTGGAAAATTTATGTAGTTTCCTTTTTTTTTTCTTTCTTTCTTTGCAATTGTTTTCTGACAATTTGGAAAGTGGAGGATGGACATGTGGAATAAGTTTAGAGTTTCCATATCTCTTGAATCGGACAGGATCTTAGTTAATATTAAGAATATTGATAACTCTGGCAGCGCTAAATGATTAAATATGTCGAATTATTGGATTGCAATTGTAATAGGATAAAAATGAGGAAAATAATTTAGAAAGTGACCACGGCTAATATAGTAGTAAAATTTACCAACAAAGATAAAATATCGAGTAACATAAAATATGAAATAAATATGTAATTGAATTTTCTTAATCTATTTCCATGTTTGAGTGGTGTCTACGTCTCAGCAAATGACGATATGCGGTTATGATCGGGACTTGTGCGTAGCATATCGTTAAAATTCTGTTGTACCTCTGAAGTAAAAGCGTGTTACGCTCTACAATTCGGCGCATCAAACATAAAAAGAAGATTAAAAAGGAAACACCCAACAGATCTCACAAAGGACGTAACAAACACTCACCACACTAAAGAAATAAATCAATCAAATTCGAAGATGGTATCCCACTGGGGGTAGCCATCCACATGTTATATTGCTATATCACTAAACCATAATATTTTACCAAATGTCCTACTGGACAAATTGTAAAATGTAAATAAATAAATAAATAATAAAAAAAACTCTACAATTGTTACGTATAATTTAACGCCTCGTTTCGACGATAAACAAAAATTTTTAAACTATGTATTTCGTAATTTCAATCTTTCATCCAACGAAATACGTTTAAAAAACGGTTGCTTCGTCCAATGGAGCTCGATCCTAGAAACTTAGAATTTATACTAAATAACTAATACGTAATTAGATAAATGATAAATTATTCTATAAGATTGTTGTATCAGGCAGCGTAACGTACGAACGACTACAAAATCCCGTAACGCAATTTCAGAGTCACCCCGTAACCTTTCTACCCTCCGTGCAGGATGAACCCCGCAATAGACGCGTTAGGGTGGGTTTTCTCCTTCCTCGTAAGCTCACCCTTTAGCGATTCGAAGGGGACGTGGTGGGGGAGACGGAGGCAGGTCGGAGGCGTGGCTTGTATCAGGACTAGGAAACCCGCAGCTTTTGCTACCGGATTGTCCTTAGTCTCCACTGAGACGCCACACGGCGCAGTCGAACGCGCGGATTTTGGTGCTCTGTGTAAATTTCTCTTTCAACAATCTGGTGTATTGTGAAAGGTCATTAAAAGCGTATACATCGCGAACACATACAACAAACCGATCAACAACTAAATTAACGTTGTTTCCATCAAAGTGTAAATAAAATTGCTCGATCGGATCGATCGATCTTTGTAAATTGATCTGATTTACCGGTTTGAAATAACCGTGCAAAATGATGCACACTATGAGCGAACACACGGGTGGAGCTGGAGGGCTGGGTGTCAGCGTGCTTCCCTTCGATGGCATGGGTTTGTTTGAACAACAACGGCCCAGGTTCCTTTTCAAGATGCCCAAGGTTGTGCCGAATCAGAAGGCCAAATTCGAAACGGAGGAACTGTTCAGGAGATTGAGTCGCGAAAGCGAGGTAAATCGAGGATTATTTGTTTATTTATTAATTTAGATAATATCATTAACAAGCAAACGGTAGATAGAAAACCGAAATTACAAATTGATTCGGATAAAAAACTGAATTCGTGGACAACAGATCGAACGTACGAAGCAAAAACGCTAATGAACTTGGATAATTAGAATGTTTATTTATTTGGAAGTAAATGAAAAAATCATGTAACTTCAGACCATTAATACTATAAATACTACCACTAATACTACGAACACTATAAATCACGTTTCGAAGCTTAACATTGTCACGATCGATTGATTGTTGTGATGGTCGATTGTTAAAGTTTCTCTTGATACTTCGTTTACTTCTGCCTGCTACGTAGTTACATTAGCTTACTCGATATTCAAATCCGGTTCTCCAATGATTCATACAATTCATCAAATTTGTATTTATACGTGAATCATCTGGATAATTTAAATAGTTAAATCTTCCAAATTGAAATTATCCTTGAAACCGTGCCATTAATTAATAACCAACTGGGTTTATTCAAATGACTCATTCAAAAAGAATATCGTTTCCTTGAATTTTGCGCGTTTCTCTTTTCCAGCGAATTAATTCCCGCCGCTGATTTCATCCGCTTCCGACGGTTACTTAAATCTCTGAGAATCGCCACTGAATCATACCCACTACTTACAAATCGAAATAAATTTCGAATTATATAGCGCAATGAAATTGGTTTAATCTTTGGCGTAATCATAGAAATTGCGAATGAAATGATTATCAGACAAATTTTCCGAATTTTTGCTTGTCCAGGTCAGATACACTGGATACCGAGATAGACCAGTCGAAGAACGTCAGGTACGCTTTCAAAATGGCTGTCGGGAAGGTTATACGGAGATCGCGTTCGCCGCGACTGGAACAAACCTCCAGCTCGTTTTTGGCAATGCATCTGGAAATTACGGCGGTGACATCAACGACTGCGATTTTGAAAAAGAACGGGGCAAGGTCGGTGAATATTTCTTCGATGTTTTGCCGCAAATCGCTTATAAATCTCTGCATCTTTAACCGATCTACGCGGAACTTCACCTTTTTCTTCCTTTTCAATTCCTTTCCCCTGAATTTTCATTTTTATCGAAAAGTATTTCGTACACTTGACGTAACGAATGATTGTAACAGCGCGGTAGACGGACATCGATAAGAGTTCTAGGCTCTTTAAAAGTGTTCGAGTAGAAACGAAAAGTCTCAATCCTCCGCAAGCTAATAGAGTAGCTAATTGAGCTTTAATCGAGCTATTTCCAATTCTTCGTGGTTTTAAAATCATAAACTAACGTAGTACTTAAAATATAGAATTTTAAACATTCGTAAGTTCAATCTTGTTTACAACAAATTATAAATCACTAATATCGTACATAAATCGACAAAGAAACATCGTGAACTATAATTGAGCAATTCTAGTGATTTGTAACGATTAGCAGATACCTACCTACGTTTGTGGTAGCGTATCTTTACACTCGTAACAGCGATTGTCACCTTAATTGGTCCGTTCCGAGCTGACAAATGTGAGGAAGGTCATTAAACGAGCTTGGACAGACGGTCTAGTTTTTCGTGTCCTTGGCGTCATATGTCCCGGGATGTAGCGTCGCCATCACGAGAAATTTAGTATCCGTCTTTACCTCCCGAACAATAGTGTCACCTTGTCACCATTCTCGGCAGAACGGCAGACATCCGGTCCCGAAATTCTCGACTCGGCATCCCTGCGGACGGTGAACAAAACTTACAACGTAACAGCGCGGCGACTAAATTTATGGCTGCTCTAAAGATTAAACTAACAAATATGATCCGAGAAAAATTCTAAAACTCCAAGGAAGAGGAGTCGTTTTTCGATGTCTCGTCTAACGAACATTTGGTGTTCGAAGGGTCAGCTATAGAAAGGTCAATCTTCATACTTTTTTTATATAATAGAGTTTATATAATCTTCGCGTTTGTATTCTGATGAGCGTTGCGTGGCTTCTTCAAGCTACTGAAAAGGACTCGTATCCTTGTACGCCGGCGCCGAAAGAGGGGCGTCGAGGCGTCGCCATCGCGATCGATAGGTGCGTCGCGAATTCGCCATTTTCTAAAAAGCACGCGTGCAAATATTACAAATCTCTTCTTCCTCTGTCAGTTTTCGTTTCATTTCTTTCTTTTCCCTTTTACAGTTTTACCTAATCACCTAATACCTTGTTGAATAAAACGAATTAATGTTATTAAAAGATACATCATGAGTTGAAGTTTAGAGGGCATTTAAAAAGGCGCTTTAAGATTGACGATACCGCGTGAGTTTTGAAAATCAAGAGATTCAGCGATCCCATTAACAGCTACTGGAGGCAATTAGCGTTTTTTCAAGTCCGTCAAACAACTCGAGAATCCGTACCAGATGCCTGAACGCTTTACAAGTCACCCGGTATATAATGGGTCATAAATCTTCCTCCGTCTCTCTTGGGATCTTCCGAAGGGCGAACGCCGCGTCCTCCGATAGAATTCTTCGCCACTTTCGGCTTTGGAGAAATCGAAAGTAACAATGTTTCGCTCCTGTCGGACCTTAACGTTTACAATTTTTTGCAATACCGAATATGTGTTGATTTATGGCTGATTTCCAAGAAATTTCGAAATAATTTAATATCGGGTTGCTATTGATTTCACATAAATTCTATATATCGCTACTCAGTCAACAATGATTCGACATTTATACGATTGTTGATTCGAGAGTAATTCAATATCGATGCATCATTATTTCAAAGAATTTCGATATTAACACCTTTACATCTGGTAGCGCCAACGTTGTCAACGTGTTGTAATCAAATGTCAGTGTCTGGTGTATGTTGGTATCAGGCGCAGTTCAATCCTTTACGTAAAGTTTACGAACTTAAATTACTCTATCGAAAAATGCCGGCTGCTTTGGTCCCAAAATTAGGGGATTTTGGTTCCTTATTGATATCAAAAAGTGCCGATACTATACAATATTATACAACATTAACATTACAACAATAACAATATTATACAAAAGGAGCCAGAATCTCACTAAATCTTAAATATCCCGTTTCAAGTCCTTATCATCTTACAACATTTTTCGATGTTTTAACCATCGCGAACAATCCTAAACTTTTCGTATCACGAGTGAATCACAGCGGCATCCACATCCCACAGAGCCATCATCGTCTCTAGATTCTGTTTACGCTCCGCTATCAGGCAACGAAGCATAGAATCGCGCTAACGATTCATTATTTTCCTACTGGAAATAAAAAGAAAGGAGAGAGAGACAGGAGGAATTGCCTGGTTGTTTACACGGCTGCCCGCGGCCAGCGTTTTGTTTTAATCGACAATGAGCGGAGGAGAGAAAGAGGCGTAATAAAGAGCGACGCACGGCTGCACGTGTCCACCATTGTCTCTTTCTCGTTCCCCGTAGAGAGGAAATAATTAAGGGAGAGATTCGCGAGCTAGATAAAGCTCGATAAAGACCGGCAAAATGAATAAAAGGGTGCGCTAGGAACTCGTCGTTTCTCGTCGATCTTATCGAACTTTCCTCGACAGTTCGCACTCGTTTTACGTGCTCTTCCTTGCTCGATCAATCTGATCTTAGTCGTTAATCTTTATCTTTGGAATTTTGTGTTTATATACAGTGGAATCTCGTTTATTCGCGCTTTGCTTATTGGAACAGATCAACGCTTGGCTCTGTTATTATTTAAATATAATATTCCGTTAAAAATGATTTGAAAACGTAATTTTATTAACGCAAAATCCAACAAATTTAGATAAATTGCGAGTAACAAGGAATTACCATCTATCAGAAATAGTTGAGATGAAAATGAACGAGGAATAACTTAATGTCCGGTCCTAATATTCTAAAAGCAGAAAGTAAATTATCTTTAACGCTTGAAGAGTTAATTCGAGTTTAATAATGTTAGAAATAGATGACTGAATAGATAGCTGAGTTGGCAGACACGTGATTGGAATTAGGATTAGAATTTAGGATATAAATTTCTCAGCCAAAATCGAAACGCACTGTCCTAGGTTAAAATGATTTACATCTCTGCCAGGATACTCGGTAGTCCCTTCACTGGTGTAAATATAAATTCAGAGAACTATTACAGTTCCTCGAACGGTATCTTCTATCTTTTTCTCCAATCGTAAAATTTCGCGAGACATAACGTGAGCCAAAACTCGATCAAACGACACGCTTCACTTCGACAAACTCAAACCACAAAAGCTTCCCCTATAATTCCAAATGGTCTTCGAGTTTCCTTCCTTCCAGTTTCTGTACTAGAAAGTTGTCAACGCAATTTACTTAGTTCCCAAGGTTATTTTATGGCTCCTTTTTTGCACGGATCTCCGATTTTTCTTTCCTCGTAAAAGTGAGTTAAATGAAAACAAAACAAAGTACCAGGAAAGAAAAACGACCGTACAACGATACATTTCGAGGAAAGACAGAAGGCCCCGACACACTGACCGTATGCCCCATCACGGTGTTCTCCTTTCCGGCAGGATTGCGTTGACGAATGTTTCTCGCTCTGCCCATTGTACTGCCGGACGTGGACCGCGCGCAAAAAGGCAAAACGGCTACGCCTACCGAAAAACAAAAGAACCATCGAAATAGCCGGTCGTTTGTCTCGGGATATTTAGCTATGCCAGCCATCCACCCTTTCCCGATTTTTCACCCCTTTCGTTCCGCGTCGGGTCGATTTTACATCTTGCTTTTTTCATTTCAACCTCGTTCTTCCTTTTTCCTTTCTCTATCTGTCTTTCTCTCTCGTCATCCATCGTATAATATGTAAATAAGTCAACGAAAGGGTTGCTCGCCGAAAGTCGTGAACGAGACACGCGTTACAGTTTAAATATCGCAGCCTATTATCCTGGCGATAATGGGTCACGCCCCTGGCGGGCAGAAAGAGAAAGGTGTGGAATGGATTTTTTCATGTTTTTTTCTTTCTACGATTCCGGTTCGCGTGAGAAACTTACTTATAGCGACGATTAAAGACGGTTGTTCTTTAAATTGTTTTGTCGGTTTGACTTCTTCTTTCTTTCCCTTCTCTTTACACGTGTTTTTTTATTTCGTTTCATCCCTTTTATCGGCAAAATTCGACACTTTCGCTGCACAATAATCGTACAATAATCTTCCGTTTATTGGGGCTCTAACGCAATAAGTATATTTATTGGGACTCGTGCATAATAATTTACAAACGAATAATATTAATTAATTGAGAAAAACTTCTTATATGAAATAAAACAATTTAATCAGGAAGGGTCTATTTTTACTCGCTTGTCTTGGTTCTTTTCTTGACCTTTATTCGATTGAATAATCGCATTGGACAACTGTCGAGTATGGTTTACAGTTTACAGACTGAATAAAAAATGTGATGTCGTGATATGAACACACATGTTGGTGGGAGAGTTGGCTAAATAGAAATTTATAATGAAACGAGAGAGATACGTGAATCGCATATGTCCTTCGAATCTTGTACTTACCCGTTACGTGTCAGACAACGATTTGTACGCAGAGTCGTACCACCTCTGTGTAGAGTAATACTTTTACGATTGCGTATGATATTTGACGTCACACGATCTGTCTGTTTTGGAAGCTTCGACGAACAAGTTTCCCGAACTTCTTTCCTCGACGTATTTCCTCTGCTTTAGATTTTGCTTTAGTTGCGCCAAGGTTCGTTTGTTTCTTCTTCTTAGAACCTTTCTTTCGTATCCTTTATCGTATTCTTCATGTTTCGTATCTTCAATAATTTTAATTTTATTTTTCCTCTTTCGCAACTTTCGCTATTCAGATTCCTCGTTTTATCTCTCTTCTAAATTAGTTATGCGTAATCAGAATTTCCATAATTTCCTGATGTTTCAACTTTCCTCCTGCCTAAGGCAATCTGGAAGTTTCCCTGTGACGAAGGTTTTTTTTTGCTATCTCGCGCAAATTACGGAGTAATTCAGTCGTCTTTCAGAAAAGGCGGCAAACGATTCGATTATCGGGTCTATCGAGGTTCACACCGCCCGCTGATGGCTCCCGTGGTTCGATTATGATTGCATAAAGAGCATCATGCCGCGCGGTTACATTGTTACGTCGCGTCGACAACCAGCTGTATGTTTCAATGAAAGAAGAAACTGGAGGCGAAACGAATAACGACGATTTCTCGTTCGACGCCTTCCTGTCTCTTCGTCTTACCGACTTTTCTGTCCCATTTGTCAAAAACCTTTTCCATTTCTTCCATTCGTCGTTAAATAATGTACAACCTGTAATTGTCATTCTTGCACTTCGACAGAATTGATAATATTTCTGGACTGTACCAATTATGAGAAGAGTATGAAAATCAAAATGACATGGAAAACGCGAGTCCGATTATTTCGAGCAGTGTGTTCGAGAGAACAGAAGAAGCTTCGTCTGGTTTTTCACGGTTAGAAGTTGGATTCCGTAACAGTTTCTAAATTTTACAACACGACCGGAAACAGAACCATTTGCCAGGAAATAAAATAACCCTCTTGAGCAAGGCAGAGATAATTGGCCGTTTCGACTTTTTCGAGGGCCGACGGTTCGACCCTTCTCTTCCTTTCCGTCCCTGTTACTTCGCGCAAATCGCTCGTAGGTCAACGTCGTGTCTAAACCGTAAAACCGAAGAGCAGTCGCTATCATATTTTCACGTTTTCAACTTTAATTCTGTAATTTCAAAATTATTAATCTTTTTAATCCGAACATATTCGAATATGTATGTAACGCTTCTTAAAATAATCTTAGATATATTTTCCTTTTATTCGAAGTTTAGATCGAACATAGGAACTAAATTTTTCTATTGCTAGCTAGTATAAACAAAATAATGGTAATTTGTAGAATAATGTTAAGGAAATAAGTTTCATTTTAAAGAAAAGATTTGTTTTATAGCTACAGAGATCGAATTTTTCCGTATTGCGTTACAAAAGGTGACGCATAATATAATATATATATATCATATTATATTATATTGGGTTTTGAGAGATCCACGTCTAGGTTGATATTGATTGTTAGGATCACTGTGAAATTTTCAAGCAACCCAATACTTTAGATGAATCGAAAAGGCCGATTTTCTCGTTGTCCTCGTCATGGCTCCGCTAGTCATCGTCCACCTCGCAATTTCATCTCTCCTCGGAGCTTGTACCTTCCAATCTGCGTAATCGTTCTCTGGAAATAAGAAACGTTCACGGCACAGAGCGGGAGAGGGAGAAAAACATGATTGAAAGTCGAAGGCGGATCGCTGGACTTAATGGACCCCTTCCACGGTGCATCGAAGGTATAAGCTTCTCGAGGGACGGAAAAGGAGCAAAGATTACGTCTTAACGGTCGAACGGAACAGTTTCAAGCGTGTTGTAGATACGAGTTTCTTGCTCCAGCAGAGATTACACCGACAATCTTGGTATTTTAATTACGACCATTCTCTTTGGGTTTAAGACGTAGACGTCTGGTCGAATACAATCGAAAGTCTTGCGGGAAGAACGCCTGATTTCCGGGAAATAGCATGAATCATCGCTGGCAAATGTAGTGCTATACCATGCCTACATTCTTGAAAATAAAGATAGGGAAAATATATGTAACAGTTTGGCATGTAATTTATATTGTTTGTGTTGGAAATTTCTTGAAAATTATATGTATATCTCTTTAGCGTCTCTTCTTGTTTAGTGCCGTTAAAATTGTTAAGAAATTCTACTTTTTTGATTGAAATTTGTCATACGTCAGTTTCTAAATTTATTAAAAATTCCATATAACTTTTGTTCCTCTAATCATACACAGTTAGAATTTCCAGAAAATTCTATATTCCCTTGTCGTCTGATATCTTTAAGATGCTCTCGTAGTCCTTTAAGTCGATGGTTAATCGTTTTGGATTAATCTTTGTGTAATATATAACACGAAAAAATGTCATTTTGCTTACAGGTACATCTCAGGTCTCGCTTAATAATGAACGGTGTGTGCGTGATGTGGCGTGGATGGATAGACCTGGAGAGGTTGGACGGTGTTGGATGTCTGGAGTACGACGAGAAACGCGCCGCTGAAGAAGACGCTCTTCTTCGCGACCAATTAGAACGTTATAACCAACGAGTACGCGATTTCGACGAGAAACAAAGGGCGTACAGAAGTGGAGCTACTCAACCACCTCACTTGAATCATCATCACCATCATCATCACCATCACCACGGTCACCACAGCCACCACGTGGCCGGAAGTGGCTCTGGAACCAGTGGAACCATCGAGCCTCATCTTACCCACCGACAAGATCCCGAGATGGAAGTCAGATTGAGGGCCTACTGAGGCTCCGAGAAAGTGACCAACGAAACCACTTGATTCCTCTTCGATTTGGAATTACTTCCGGATCGCCCTCGAGCCAACCGAACACTGGTGGGAGAAACGAGAGACGAAAGATCTCTTGGGAGGAATGTGGCTAACGGTTTGATACGCGTTCGTAAGGTATTCACGTTTTTTGGAGTGTAATTGCACGAGATTGAGAATCGCGAGATGCTGGTAGAGATTTGTTTGTGGTGATTTACTGTTTTCGACCTGCACTCAATATTTTCCAGCCTATTGGATTTGAGTAATTTTTCGGAACAATGGAATTTTTACTTTTAGTCGAACATTTCTAAGGCGTCGAATTAAGTTATTTCTTTGGAAATAATGCGTGTCGATACTTTTGACTTTCCGTAGAAAACTTCTTGCGTTTCTCGAAACTCCTGACAATTCTCGTCACCAGATTTTTCCCACTGTTGATGACGTATCATTTCCGACAACTTTTATAATCGACAGACATCAATCACGATCAATCGTCAAACACGATCCAACGATCAGGATCATTAGGTTAAGTGACACGCGTTTATCTGTCTTGTTAATATCGTTCAAGAAGAGATTCTTGAGAAACACGCACATCAAGTTGCTGTTTCTGGAAGATCTCTAGGGGGTCGGTAAAATCTCATAGATTAATTCTGCAGTCGAATTTTATTTAAAATTATTACAGTTATATTAATTACAGAATACTAACGACGAGAATCGTCTATTGATTCGAATCACGAATGAAGATCGATCTTTGTTATACTCAGCTATCTTTGAATTTCCAACATGCCATCGCAAGTATTGCAGTCCACGCAACAAGACCGAATTTCTATGTACAATTAACGATAATAAGAACTATTATTATCGTCGTATAACACTTAAGCAATATGTTTGTTTTAACATTTTTCTCTCCGTTGTTTATTTTATTAAACTTTGATAATGATCGGTTATATCGTTACGTTCGATATTATTTTATTGCAATGGAAGAAGAGAGTTGTGTAATTATTATTGCAAAATTGAGATTTTTATTCGATCTTATGTACATACAATGATAATATGTATTTTCTTCCTTTCTTTCCTTGTTGATGTGTTGTTTAGCCGCAGGGATTGAAATTCATTCATGAATTAAGTAAGGTCAAGATTTAAAAAATGCGGAATGAGGAAGATTATATACAGAGGAGAGAAACTTTACGATTGTTTCTGTTCTATCGTATTTGCCAGACCATGCAACGAAGTTTACGCGTACCTTTTATCTTCTGTCCTTACCGACGATACGATGAAGATTTTTCCAGCGGGGAAAAATAATATAAATGGCGTCGCATGCGAAACCTCGAGTCTTTGCTCCGATTAACATATCAATGTAGAATGCACGACCGATGCGGATATTCATCCATTTACAGAATCAGCATTTATTGAACTTTTATATTTACTTACATTTTCTTTTGCTTCGTGATTTCATTTTAAGTCAGAAAATCAACGAACGAAAAATGGACTTATTTTTGTCATATCTTCTGTTCTATTTCCAATTTAAAAGATGTACATTACTCAGAGCTGGAAAGATGACTATAGCAGGTGGCTATAGGGGCAAGAGGAATATTTTGTCGACACCACTCATCAGACAGTATAATCAAAAGATGTGTTCATTTCGGTCAAAAATATTTATACTACAGTAGAAAATGCGAATGCATTGGGATCAAGCCGTTCCATTCACCTTCTTTTCAGCTTTACACAGCAGAAATATTTTAGTTTTCAATTTCTATTTCAAATACGTTGAAGAAATGCTGTTGAAGATATCCAAGCACGACTGCGATAGCCGAATCGTTCGTGTTTTCTCAACATCGCAAAACATACGAGATATTACTAGTATTCCTATTTCGATGTCACTAGCGTTTTTATTATGCAAATGCAAACAGCGAACATGTCACTCTTCCACGTCAGTATTCGAATTACAGCAAAATATTTTCAATTTTTATCAGAAATGAACATACGATTTTGATCTCCAGTCTTCCCAACGAGTAACGAATCTTTTATTGGTGGAAGGGCGATGAAACGAAAAGCAAATGTCACGTGCTGGAATTCTGGAGGGAAAGAGATGATCGAGCAGTGCGTCATGTCCAGCAAGGAGTGTGATTCACAAGAGAATTCTCTTGGAAGTGAACATTTGACGAGTCGTCGACCGACATTTCGTTTCGTATGCGTCGAATATACACGCGAACCGTCACGATCTTTCCGTTGCATTGTACATATTTGTAAAGAGTTAGGTTAATTTATAGCGGCGGCTTCGTGCTCCCTT